AGCTGCCTTCACTGTTCAACACACGCCATGCAGCCACTCTCTGTTTCTTCTATTCTATGACTTACACCACAACCTAACACCGGAGGCCAAACTCGTTTAACAAAACTCTTTATAAAATCACCGTCTATTGTCTCTGGTTATGTGAACTCTTTGGATCAACATGGCGGACAACTCTTCAGTCGACATTTAACATCTAAGTAAACATTTCTTTAATTAAGTGAACATGTTTTTGATAGCTTACTTTGATATGAAAAACAAAATTCAAACCTTTGTTGGGAACAATGATATACTATTAGAGGTTCCCATGTGGATAGCCTTTTGGGAACTTTTAAAAAGTAATTTGGTAAAAAAATGTAATTTGTGGCCTTTAGAATATCTCTATAATTGGTTGCTTTTGTTCGTCATCATTGGACAATGATCTACTGCTCGACAAATACTTTCAGATTCCTTTACTAATCTCTCCTTGTTGTTACAAGTATTAGTAGTTTTTTTTAAGGTGGGAAAATCATCGATTGTCTTCTCCCGCCTTGGTGAGGCGGGAGGGAGTGTCAGATTCTTACTGACTAAAAACCACCCCGTTCCTACTCCTGCACTTTGGGCCAGAGCCCCGGTAACCCGTTAGGTTCTCCGCGATATCGCTAAACCTGAAAGATGATTTAAATAAAAAAGTGAAAAAGTAACATAAATCAATGAAAATTCACTTATCAACTAAATCCACACAAGTACTCAATACACTCATTATTACCGTACAATTTATTTCAATATCATTCACTCAGTTCCGTCAAGCTAACGATGATTGATACATCTATCATTATCGAAGTAACTCGTTACGTTGTTCTTTAATGAAAAAACTGCCTTAGGAACTCATTGAAAAAATCCCTTTTACATTTATTAAAACTAATCTATACTTTAATAACTTCTTTAAGCGAAAGTTTAAGATAAAATAGTTTGTTTTACTCATTGTTTGAAAAAAAATTAGAATACGGTACGTAGGTATGTTTCGCACGAAGCGATCATGATAAGACCATATTTACTTTCGTTTCGTTTCAAATTAAATAACTCATTCATCTTTAATCTGTCAGAATCTTTACTTTTACCAGCTTGTTAATCATATAACCATTAGAAATTTCCGTGTAACGTTGATTACTTGAAAGTGTGCGCAAGTTTATAGTCATATCGTCCCATCCCAGAGGCAAAATGGATCTCCCCAAGAGACATGAGAAACGCCTCTGTTTTAAACTACGTATATGTTAATTACTGGTTCTCTTTCTCAACAATTACCTCCGCTAAGGGGAATCTAAAAACTGGAGGTATTCAAATGTCTAATTGCAGTAAAACATTATCACATGTGACCACGTTTTTAATTTTGACTGTTTGTCATCTTTCCTTGTTTAAACTTGATGCTGCTATTTTTGTGGTAAATGACACCTTGCGACAATTTTGTATTTTAGTCTCAGTTATATAAGAAAAAAGCAAGGAGAAGGATGCTTTTGCGATTATTCAATCAGGCAATCTAATATGAAATTATGAACAGCAAAAAATTACAGGTCATAAAAGATCAAACGGCACTTACTATGATTAATCCATAGTTAAATGCTCCTCATCATACTGATACGATCTTGGTTCTGAAGTCAGAGTGCACCTAATTATATGACCTATCACGTCTCGAAGATTATTTTATCTTCACCATTTCCCTTTCCTGACCTTTCTGGGTAATGAGGAGACTGCTTTAGATCTGACATCGGGAAGAATGTTGAAAGTAAAAACAATACTATCTGAAGATGGTCTAGACTTTAAGGTTGTAGGGTCAGGTTTGGTTATTAATGCTATCTTTTGAAGAGTTAAATTGTGTAGCTTTGTCTTATCTTTTTGTTGCGTTTTCTTTTCTGTTGTTTCCCCCTTTTATCTCACCACGCCGACATCTTGTAGGTACATTTATTTCTTTAATTGCGGTGTGTTCGCACAAATTAATCATTGTTGCTGAGATAAATTAAGTTATGTCATATTAGTTTTTGACGTTACAACAAAAATAAACTGACGTTTTTACGTATAAATATTATAAATGTACAGTAATTCTATTTCAATCGATAACGACAACAAATCAATGACAAACGCAAGGCTTAAATTCGAATAAAATTGAATATTCTCGTACATGGTGCTTGGCATACCACAGGGTATTATCTTAGGGCCATAAATAACTATGATACGTTTACCGTTAGAACAGTGGACGGATCCAATAATTGTATATTGTTGAGGTCAGTTTAACCTGCACCACGCATTTTATGGGTTACCAGTAGAAAGTACAGAATTATTTACTTACAATGTTTGAAAAAGTTTTAAATAAATAATTACTGGTTGCTATTGCAAGTTATTTGTTTTGGTGTGTTATTGATGAGATCATGTTAAGTGGCTGAATAAAAATATATGTTTTGGTATTTTCGTGTTTAATTTTGTAAAGGATATTCGGTAATGTTATTTTAGCCTCTATTTTATATTTCGAAGTCAGGCTGTTTCTTAAATATTATTCTGATATGATTCTACTTCTTTGCACCAAATTGGCTTTATATTGCTAGTCGCTTGTCATGACAACCTCGCCCTTAAGCCTACAATTTCCCAACCATTTCCCTTTACTTGTCACCCCATTATGGGACCGTATAAAGCATTAAGCAATGCCAAAAATGTTTGCAGCACCATATTAGAACGCCACCTAACTGGCCAACGGGCGCATGTCGCTGCGATTTGTCATGTAAATCCGCAAATTGGTGTGAAACTGTCGTGGAAAATTGCGGCTTTCCAATCGTGGCCGTGTCAGTCGCCCTTGGTGACGTACGGTAGAAACAATCGATAGATCGGAGAAAGTATTTAGGTTATTTTGTAATGTCCATAAAGCAAAACTTCTCCCACATTAGGAAAATTATTTGTTAATCCAGATAAGGGCTGCTAGTGCAGTAACTTAATCAGATATAGAAGTTTCACCCCTAGCGTTTTGTTAAGGACAGATTAATAGTATAACTATACAATTCTAGTTGTGTATCAATACTAATCCCCTAAAACTCAAACCAGTGGCTAAAAGCTAAAAAACTTCTAATGCTACGCATACATTTCGGCTTCAAATGCGCTTCGTAGTTGATCCGCGAAAATATGACAAACTGAGTAACGGGAGACTTAGGGCAGAAAGTTATGTAATATCGTTTGGATGGCCCTTCGCAAAAGAAAACAATGTTATGCAAGTTATTATGCAGATTGCAGAATAAACAAACATTCATCTATCCGTCACAATCAGAAGGGTTTTACAAGGGCCTCTTGTAGCGACACTGTTTCTTTTTCTCTATACTTAAGGTGCTGATTATCGACTGCAGCGCCACTTCACAACATTTTCACTTTCGATTTCTGACTCTTAATCTGTTTGTTCAAAATGTCATGTTTGTTGAAAGTATCTCAAACAAAAATATGTATGTTTTAAGAAATGTTTGGTAAGATGAGAAAGTGATGAGTCCAGGTGTGTTTTTGGCTTTGTTTGGTGGATGTCAATTGTCAATATGAGTATGTATGACCATTATGAGCTAATGTTTGTTGTAAATTAGAAGTTCCGATGACCACATCATTCACTCGTTGAATAAGGCTGCGATAGTAAAGACACTATAAATATGTACCTCGTCTAAGCAAGAAACATACTCAACACTCCTTCAAATGAAAAATCACACTTGATTGATGACGAAACAAAATGATGTGTAATCTATTACCACATATCATTCATATTAAAATTCGATGCACAGGCAGACATATTGGAATTGGATAGTAAAATAATTACTGTTATTCGACCAATTTCACGGCTGCCACAAATAACATAAACAAATATGGTAGCTTCGGCATCGTTTGCAGTGCGTAAGTCTAATTAAAACCTTTCACATGCAAGTTTAAGTAAAACCTTCCGTGTTACTTGTTACATAAGATTTAAATCGGAGATTGTGGATTTGTTATTTGTGCGTAACTTTGCTTCTGTGTGTGATCTGATCATCTTGGTACCGTGCTTAACAAAAATCGTGGGCGTATTTTCACTTTTTCCTGGATTTAGCTTGGTGGTCTAGTTAGCATGGTTTTGGTATAAGACGTCTTTAGATCTACGAAGACTTTGCTGGATGATGGGGCCTCATGTAATGATAAGGCTAACCTATCTCAAACTGTATCAATAGAGTTTTAGAGCTTGCGATCCTAATCGTCATCGACGTACTTAATTTGTCTTATCACCTGGTTTTAAATACTCTTTGTCATTTTTGTCAATTACATTTTATTGATTACGTTCTAGTCCCACACCAAGTGCAACTGCATTTTCATTGCATTTGTCAATTTCAAAATCAAAAACTCATAATGACGTTTCACTCCACATATACTTACTTCATTCTCGTGTGAAACAAATACATTTTTAATAACTTTCGTTACTGCAATTTCTTTATAATAACAATTTGTAACATGTTTCGTAATAGATTTATCGTGTTTATCGTGTATCGAATTGATATTATCTGCTTCCTTTGGCAAATCGTGACAAGTCTGATCGTCCGGTGAAAGCCTAATTGCTTGATTAAAGTTTTTAAATTCCCTTGCGTATCCTGTTTTACTGTCATTGATGTGATTGATAATCTTTGAGACATTGTTATGCTATCCTCTTAGCCTGCAAAGCGGTGACCACTGCTGTACTTATATTAATTTTTGTGTCTATTGTATTACTGTTTTGTGTAGGTACTTTTTTCAAGTACAAGTGCTTGGTGTCATCACTGAGTTTTTGTTTAAATTAAAAGCCTTTTAGTAAAATTTGTTTTTTGTGATCCTAGAGGAAATTATCGCTATTATCAATTTGCATAATTTAGCACATAATAGAATAATTAAACAATGTGCAGGCGTCGTTTGCTTACCATCAGGCAAATTTGTTCGTTTACCGCTCTATCCAAGAATCTTCTTTCATCTGAACTGCTTCTAATATGGATTATTTTCTTTATTTCCAGGACCGACCGGCAAAGATCAACGCGGCGAACCAGAACAGAACCGCCAACCAAAATGTGACCACCGAACGAGTAACCAAACCAACAAAAACCATACAAATTCATGAATCCTGCAAGATTACATGATTCAAAACAATATTTATTGTAATTAACTTTAGATAACGAATCTAGTCGCCATAGCACTATTTAAACGAAGCAATTTAGACTTTATTTTACTAGAAGATACGGTTGAAGATCGTATTCAAGTACAAAGATTAAGGAATTGAGGAGACAGTACAAACGACTCGTGGGGACCCTAATGTTGATTTAGGAGTAAATTGATTTGATTAGAAGTTCCCTGAGATAACACGAACAAGATGTCTACAAGTAAGTATCCTCATTATAACCTTCATTTTTATTATTAACACGTTAAACGCCACCGGTGACTGGCGTTAGCGGAGGATTTACCTTCAACAGTTTTTTATTGGCAGTCAGTCTTAATGATTAATGTACCTTATGCTTATCTAAGTAAAATTGTATTACGGAGCCGCGGAAGACTTAACGGGTTGCACTCCGGCTCAAAGTGCAGGAGTAGGAACGGGGTGGTTTTCAATAAGTAATAGTCTAACATTCCCTTCCGCCACACCCAGGCGAGAGAAGTCTTTCCATGATTTTGCCCCCTTAAGAAAACCCTATAATCGTCCTAAAATTATTATCTGTGTCACATGGCCAATATTATTCGACCTGGAAATTCAACAGCTGTGCCATGTACAGGCTAACAAGCCAGTCAAAGGCTTATATTCATAATTTATCCGTTATACGCGTATTTATGCGGCTTCGGAACTCTGTGTGTGGCTTACAGTAATCTTCAATAATATTTGAAATATATAGACTGTAGTATCTACATAAGGTTTATAAAGTGAATATGAGAGTGTTGCCTCAGTTTGAGATCAAAGTGATTATTTCCCTGCCTGGATCGCGGGTAGTTAGAGTATATAGGTCTATCTAATGAGATCTCTGCTCGGAGCAGGAGTGGGAACGGCCACCTCACTTTTAGTCAGTTAGTCTGACACTCATTGCCGCTTTCACTTGGAGCAGGAGGAGTTTGAGGGAATTGTTGATTTTCCAAAGACATTTTAAATGAATTATTAATGTCCTCAAAAATATTAGCGTATTTTACGTGCAATTCGCTAATGTTACAAATGATTTTGATTCCAGGTTTTGAACACTCTTCGATGAAGAGTAGCTTCTCGTTGTCATCTTTGAGGAGCGCGCCCGCGCCGCCTGGTGGCCGCTGTGAACAACTTGAGCGGCCGTATCACAGTCTTACGAAAAAGAGGTATAAAATCCATTAATAAAGCCGGAACGCTGATTTAACCCGTCGAGCGTCCGCGTTCCTTATGATCCAACGGGTGCACACGTGACATTTGGAGGAAGAAAGAAAATGCATTTATTTGGCCATTGGCACACGAAAACAAGGATCATTACAATAGAAATAAAACAAATACAGTCAAAATAAAAACAAAACATTAATAATACATTTTATGAAAGAGAAAGCAGTATGGACCATTTTTCTTAAGATCCACCGGGTGCTCATAAGGACGCTATTGTGTCGCATATCGCTGAGAAGTTGAATATATAAACTTAATTTTGTCTACACTGTCCCAATATTGAATTTAGGCAGTGACATCCCTAATGCCCTTCTCGTATGGTATCCTTCCGTTGTGGTATGGAAAAAAGGGATGGGTTGCTAACTATTTTTCTAAATTTGCTTCAAACAACCAGGAAAAGTCTAATATCTTACTGTATAAAGTGAAAAGTCTAATATCTTACTGTATAAAATTGTCATTAGAATTATCTAAATCGGATTATTTAACAGCAGCAACTGACAACTGCACTCTGAGAGATAAATACAATATAATGCAAGTTACCATTCCAAACGGCTTCCGAAGTCGGGATATCCAATAGCAACCACAATAAAAAGCTATTTTATAGTCTGGTGCGCAAACGCAGCAAAGCTTGTTTTCTTGTTGCGCATGAACTAACAAGAATTAATTACTACGACTACTCACTCGATTTATACTGAATTTATTTTCATATGACCATGAACTGAACTGAACGTAAAGTGTAATTTGTTATTGAACTTTATACACTCCTTATTTACTGGTTTCGTTTATTTTAACTTAACTTTCTACGTAATCGGTACATGTTAAGCAGTTTCTTTAGTAATTATTGGAAGGTTTGATGGAGAAATCTAATGAAAGACTGGTTTGAAGGTGGTCATTCTAGTGTCATCTTGATTGCCTGGTTGACGGCGTGCAGGTGACCTTAGAGCTTATTGAGTTTTCTAATTCCAAAACTGTTCATAGGGTGGATAGAGACAGAATGTCTGATACAGTCCGTTTTGGACCCACGGATTTGGACATAGTATCCAGGTTATTGTCTTGAAATAGGAATATTAAAGACGGAAAGTTAATCTATACTTAACTGCCCTTTGTAACTAACCATCCGCTGATGGCAATTTGCAATTCTTTTTTGTAAAAAATCACCTAAACTTCTCTGGTCTTTTGTTTGAGTCTTCAAAGTCACTTAAAGTCAAAGTCACTTAAAGTCAAAGTCACTTAAAGTCAAAGTCAAAATTATTATTTTAATTAGACCAAGAAGGCACTTGAGTACGTCAGCAAAAAAATAAATAAAAGTGAAGCTGTTACTTATTCCACGGTGTATATAGAGAAGAATGAGCAAGAAACTCCATATGTTATTCTTTTTTAATCAAGTTCACAATAGAATTCTCTAGTGACTGACTCCCTAATACCTGTCACGGGAGTATGTATTAATTTATGCTTTAAACCTCTCATTTCCAGGAAGGAGCCATGTCGCGAAGCTTGGCGCCGCAGCTGGGGGTCTGCAGCGAGTGGCGGCAGCGCCGTCGACGACCTGTGGCCGCTGCTGCAGCACCACTACGACTACATCATGGACAACCAGATTATTGATAGTTGCAAGGTACCTACTCGCTAGTATTTTTTTAAACCTTAATTCATCCTTAAATTGTCGCCTATATGTGGTAGTAAGACTGCACGGTTGGTGCGGTGGCTGGGCAACTGGCTGCCGTGCAACGTGTCGCGGGTTCGATTCCCGCACGAGACAACACTGTGTGATTCACAAATTGATGTTTCGGGTTCGGGTGTCATTGTGTATGTGAACTTGTATGTTTGTAAACGCACCCACGACACAGGAGAAATTCCTAGTGTGGGGCAACGTTTTGTTAAAAAAAAAGATATGAAAAGCTGGTTTGCAACCTAGATTATTTATTATCATCAGTCCTTTTCCGTTAAATGACGAATAAAGACCTCTCCAATAGCATAATGCTACTGAGTTCGAAGGTCCTATAGTGATTTAGTTCTGTGCTTTATTATTTTCCCTCGAAACACGACTAGAAAATAACCGTAAAGTATGATAAAGGAAGAGGAAAGCTAGCAGTGAGTAATTTTGGGGTTGAAATGATGACGCTGGAAGCTTTGAATAAAAAGAGAATGCCTACGAATGTTTGAATTCTTCAATTACTTTATCACAAGGCATGACTTTAACTTGTTCGTATAAAACGAACTTCCATTTCCATTAAACAAATTTACAGTTTCTATGTGATTTCCAAAATGCAAGACTAGTTTCTTACCCTTGCTTACACTCAATATTCTGCCATAGGTAACCAATCTACAATAACTCTTCAATTTCTTTTCCAGGAAGCGAATGGCGAGCTTCTCTCCCGTAACCCGGCCCTGCACTGCCCGCGTCTCCTGAATCCGACCTCTGGCTTCAACCGCCAGTGGTCGCTGAGTCAGTTGGTCGCGGAGTTCAATGAACTGTGCCAGTGGCTCAGTCATGTGCAGGAGGAGATATATTCTAGTCCCGAGAATTTGTCCAGCAGGAAGTTGAGGATAGTAAGTGTGGTTGTCTTTTGGAAATATAGCATTACCTTGATACAGAACTGTTAATGAGGAAGGCCTTTATGGAAGGGGTATTCATGATGTGCAGAAACGTGGTGGCGCCGATTGCGTACCATCAAGTGATCTATCTGCTCATTTATCGGCTTATGCCATAAAAACCTTCGAAACTAAGCAAGGGAGTTAGTGTCTGCTTGTAATACCTACCTAGTGCTAGTAAAGTCAGTCAGGCAGTCTTTCTTCAAAATGTGAACGAGGTGTATTATTTTTACTTTAATAGACTTGGGCTTCTTTCAAATTTGTGTTCTATCCTACCATACAATTGTTAAGTCTAGTTGCTATCTACTTATAACCATTTACTGATGCTTTTATTACTAACTAGCTTTTACCCGCGGCTTCGCTCGCGTCACAAAAGGATAAAAAGTAGCCTATGTGACATATACCAATACATACACCGCCATCTATACCAATACTTTTGTTTTCCCTCGGGAATATCCAGTTTTTTCGGGATAAAAAGTACCCTATTATTTAATCCAGACTATCATAACTTTACGTCTGTAAAAATTCAATGCAATCGGTTTTGTAGTTACGGCGTGAAGTCGGAACAAACAATCAAACAAACAAACTCACTTTCCGATTTATAATCTTACTAATCATCTGTTAAACATGTTCTAACATAACAATGATGTGTTTCTTACAGAATCGTATGACGGAGCTGGTGGCAGTGGAGCCGCGCCGCGCCAAGTTCATAGAGCAGGGCACCGCTATACTCGAACGTATACCGGAGGCTAGTGCTGAAGTAAGCAAATTTTAACATTATACCATTGCTTAGTTCCTTTTTTGAATGGGGAAATTAATTGAGCGACTCCTCTTGCCCCAGGTGAGGTGAAAGGAAGTTCCTGACTCTTACTTACTGAAACCATCCCATTCCAACTCGTGTTTCGAGCCGGAGCCCTATTAACTTCCTGCGCTTCTCCGCAGCCCATTAAATAATGCTTAGATAATTATAGGCACCTGTATAACTTGGGTTCTAATATTATTTTTCTATTTTTCAGGTGACGTGGCGAATAGAACATTTGAATGTAAAGTGGGAAGGTCTCCGGTTGCTACTTAGTCCTGAGCAGCAGCATCGTGAAGGAGACAGTTCTGACACAGTTGGTTAGTATCTTTATACTCATCTTTTGACAAAATAACTATGTATTAAAAATTATAATCATAGTTTTTAGTTTCAGAAGTTTAGTACAGCGCCCTCTATGAGTAAGCGCCAATACTATCACAATGTACCTACAAATACTTTGTAATGCTTACAACGCCTAGATGGCGCTGCTATTCATTTAGTTCTTAGTATTGAATATAGGGGTCGCTTGATGTATTATTGCAATATTTTGAATGGATAGGCCTTCAACTACAAGACGATAGCTAATTACAACGAAATAAAAATGATTTTACTAATTTAGTAACTTTAACATTTTAGCAATTTTTAGAATTATAGTAATTATGGTTGCATATATAGCACTAAACACTTGGATTAGTAGTTTTTTTTTATGTTACCTATTTTCGTCTTTACCAGACACAGCTCACGAGTTGAAATGTCTTCGACGTTGGCTACACTGCATGGAAGGTCGGCTGCCTCCCCCGTCGCTGGCAGCAGCGAGAGGAGCTTCATACCACGAGCTGCTGAGGAAACTCGGAGAACATAAGGTAAGAATATATACATAACAAACTTCTGCCCGCGACTACGTACGCGCAATCCTGTTTTTCCCATTCCCGTAGGATTTTTAGGACTACACAACAAAAAAAAATCAGCCAAATCGGTCTAGCCGTTTTCAGGTTATGGCGTGACCACGGGAAACGGGTTTAATTTATATAGATATATTAATACACGGCCAGAGGGCGTCCACAGAGGTTCTCCATCTCGATCGATGTTGAGCTTCTCGCTTCACCTCGCTCCACGTCATTCCGATGCTCGCCGCTTCTGCTATTACATTATCACATAGGACTATAAGTTAAGTAAGTCAATACACGACCATGTCCTATCCTACAATTAGTCACCAAACTTAGAAGAACTGAGATCTTCAAGTTGCCTAGCAAACGAGAGGTTATAGAAAAGCGCCTTCGACGTGGGACATCTTTATAAAGCAGTAGATGAGTCCGGACGAAGAAACTTTGTCCAACCTCTGTTTTTATTTAAATCTAGGTATAAGTTTAATTATCTAATTTTCTTCCTAGAAAGTTTCGTGTGTGTAAAAAAATAGAGATTGAAATTTATAATAGCAGGTAAGTAACAAAAAATATAATGTAGATAGCCACAACAAAATAATGAAGTACTTACCTTTTTTGTGGGGGAGTCATCGAATGACTTTTCCCGCCTTGGGTGAGGCGGGAGGGAGTGTCAGACTTTTACTGACTAAAAACCACCCCGTTCCTACTCCTGCACTTTGAACCGGAGCCCCGGCAACCCGATAGGCCTTCCGCGGTTCTATGAAGTACTTACCTGTTTTACAATTTCTTGTTGTTACCAGAAAATGGAACTGGTACACATATGTGTAGGAAAATATTATTTAATATAGGTTACATTAAAGTTAAAGATTCTCAACGGTTTTGATAAGAAGTTTGTTTAAGTAGAATTTTGATTTAAAGTTATACTAACTGAACCATGTAGGATTGATTTGATATAATTTGTCAACGATACATAATGATTTGTCATGGATTTAAATAAAATAAATAATTCATACAATTTGCAGGCATAGATGCAATCTCATTTACTATTCTTACTGCGATATTCAGAGATATTTGATAATTATTTGTATTGTAACTTTCGTGAGACATACTATTATTATATTATATTATAGATAAATTATTATGTTATCGGCTTACTCACGTAACTGTTTGACGAGGAACTCGACTAGTTTCAAGCCATGCTAGATTGTGTGACTGCCTCGTTGGCCGAGTGGTCGCAGGTGCGACTGCCGGGTAAGGGGTCTCGGGTTCGATTCCCAGTTTGAGCAAAGTATTACTTGGGTTTTTAAAAATCTCAGTAGTAGCACGGAGTCTGGAAATGTGCATAAATAGTGAAACTAGTCTTCATCCTATGACATGGGACTTGTAACATAATTAGTTTCACTATTTATGTTACGAGCCCCATGTGATAGGGGGTGAGCCTATTGCCATATACCGGTCACAATTCCAGACGCCGTGCTATTACTGAGATTTAAAAAAAAACCAATAATACTATGCCCAAACTGGGAATCGAACCTGAGACCCCTTGACAGTCCCACTTGCGCCTACTCGGCCAACGAGGTAGCCGTTAGTTCGTAAACCTTTATAATGTAACTGTTTGTAGTTCTCCTTAACAAAAAAACAAAATTAAAAACTTTTCTTACCTATTTCCTTCCCAACTTTCAGGCAACTACCAAAACAGAAACACCATTTATAACTCACCATTGCGTAATAGAACATCTCAATACAGTATCGCGAGCGATTTATTCTCGTTGTTACGGATCCATTGCGGTGTATCGACGGCGTCTTCGTGACAACTCGAACACGCTCTAATGACGATAATAAATCAGCCAGCGATGGAGAGATGGCCTTAATTAAGTTCGACGTTTCGTGAGCGAGAGTTCTTTGTGGTCGTGTGCCCTATGGATTTATGGTGTTTGAAGATAGTAAAGCCATGTGTGTAGGCGTTCGTTACATTGTAAATTTAAATGTAGTGGTTTTAATCTGGTGTAATGGTGTTTATTTTGATAGCTATTTTGTATTTATCTTTTTACTTTTTTAGTTTCGAAATTATTCGTTGTAATCGCCTCTGAAATTCGGCAATGGGAAAAAGAAACGAAGAATCATAAACGCGAAAAACTCATATAACCTCCTTTTACCTATCATTCTATGACCATAGACATTTAGAATTTGTCATGACCACCATATCACTCACGATTCCTTCACCCTTCGGAAGTATGCATGTTAACTGACAAATAGTATGATCGTTACGTGATAGGAAGCAAAGGTAACGTTTAACGTGGTTTAACTAAGGCGACTCGTGCGCAGGTCATCAGATCATCGCAGATCATGTATCTGTGGCAGTACAAATTAGCGTTTATCTGATGCTTGGGTATGTTTGCCCACGATGCGAGGGATATCGCGTATAGTCGGACTTTTCTGAAATTATTTTCATTTTAGAACAGCTTAAAGTGAAGAAAATTTAACCTGGATAAATTTTTTTTAGATAAGTACTTAAGATTTTTTAGATTCTCTTCATCCTGGTACCTAGTTCATTCATGATCCTGTTCTATAAAATGTCATATCGCTACTTAGCCGGCAGATTTAATATTGAAAAATAACATATGTAAAACGAAACTGTTGAAAGTTAAATCATTACAACTAGATCGCTCTAAGAACAGAAGCTCGAAGTCGATTAAACCTCGAATTGATCTACGAAAAATAAATCTTCTATCTAATACACTCGACAGTACTCTACAAATATCCAGAAGTGAAAGAAAATTGATAAATCTGTCCTAACGATAGTAAAATCACAAGTTACGCTAAACGAGAGCGCCGTAAGCAAAGGTCATCAGATCATCTGCGATCACGTATCTATGGTCGTACAAATTGCCCTTATCTGATTACCATAGAGTTACGTCCGAGAGTAGAGAGGCTGAATAGCGGTTTCCTTTGCTTCGTTTCTTTTGTTTCGTGGAAAATAATTTTGATGAAATGAATACTTATGTTATGCATGAAGTTGAATTTGGGTTTTAGTGTAGTGTCATTAGTGTCGTAACGAAACCTCAGCAGAATGATAGATGGACAGATAGACAGGCACAGCAAAGTTTTAATCAAAAATCTCTAAAATATTTGATTTTAGAATGCGTGTGAATGTATCCTAGCATTTAAAAGTAAAGATTATCGCACCTGTTCATAAATAGAACATGAAATTACTGGCCAATCATAACTGTGGATACGTTGTAAAGTACAGCAGGGACCATAGACCATAGTATAACTAGGTATTATATTTATTGCGTACCGCAAACAATGTTTCCCTTTAATTAAAACGGCTGTTTTACGATTATTAGATAGCTTACATTGTGAAACTATGTAGCGCCATTAGCCATTAATATTTAGTTGTTGCCTGCCTCATTTATAGTGTTTGCGAATAGCTAGATAATTTTAATTGACTAACTAAGGTATTAAGGTGCTTTTGGAGAACAAGCGACGCCGTACAAGAAGATGAGAAAAGACATTTTTTTCAAGGCAGATAAGTGACTGTTTGTTATTCCAAGCAAGTAGTTTTACCAATGATAGGCAAGAACATGTCAATAAGTGACTGGACTTGACGTGATTGTCTATCCATAACAACAGTGATTACTATTCGTATGATAGTAGGTGTTAACACTTTTTACATGTAAAGTAATAACATAAATATTTTTTTTAATATTTACTTGTCATGACGTTAAGATGATTAGTTTTTATTTTAATTTATTCAGTAATCATTCATGCTTACTACAATGTTCACAATGAAATTCAAAATCTCATAAAATATTTGTTTTCCAATATATCCAATAAATACTTAATATTTTTTTTTATAAATGTCAATAAACAGCCATTACTTTATCATAGAGAATTTTCACGTTATAATCTGTGCATAATAAGCTGTTTAGTCTGTGGTGGGCTCGCATACCGTTTGTCTATTGACTAATGCTTAGTTTCGCGGCAACTTTCGAAGCCGGGTCGCTGTCACAATTAACCCTTGCTAGTCAGTTTGTGACATGACCATCTATTATTTGGAGCCATCGATCTCAGCTAATAGCTGCTTGCTTTGATTGTGAGCTATCGGTTTTGTAAGGAAACTATAGGAAAACAGTATTTCAGAGATAAAGAGAAATGGCGTGTGGTTCGGTTATCGGTATAGAGTTCATGTTATTGGAATTGAACTGTTGTACCTATATTTCTTCAAATACTTATATAGGTACGACCATAAAGCTTTATTATTCTGATGGTTTATGTAAAAGAAAAATAAAAATAAACCAAAAAAGAACTGGTACTGGTACATACTGGCCAAGCGTTTATATATTTTTTCTTTTTGATTTCATTATTACACCGTTTTAACTCATAAAAGTAAAAATATATTTATTTAACACCAAAGTTTATAACTATCCACATATAATAATCTTCACCCAGTTTTTTATGAATGAAACGTAAATACCTTCATCAAAGAAACAAAAATAAATCAGTGTAACGACATAAAAGGCGAATGTTTTGGTAAAAGTTTATTTATTTACATATTTTTACTGGCCGCCATATTTGGTTTGTCGTGACGCATGGGTTTATTATGCTCAGAGTAAAGTATTTAATCCATCGGCTGCTATAATATTTAATGTTAAATATTACTTGTGGGTTGCGTTGAAGTTGTTACATAGAAATACAAGATTAGCAAGAGAAAATTAGATTTTCAAAATTCACAGTCTAAATGGCTGACAAAGAATCTAAAGAAAACGAAAGCAATTTAAGGAACCCTATTTGCTTAAGGCATAGTATTAATAGTAATTTTCACGCTTGCTCAATGTCAAATGGCGGATAATAAGTACAAAATTATGACCAACTCTCCTCATATTGAAATTGTTGTCTTCACTTCTAAATTTTTTTGTTGTTGACGTTCAAAAGTGTCTTCTTGGTCTAATTGAAATAAATTATTTTGACTTTTGACT